GGTGTGTACCACTCAGCTCCCCAAATTCTTCCCTCAGCCAAGAGTCTGTGTTTTTAAGGTGGAAAGATCACAGTCGTACCATTTTTAACATAAATTATTTAACATTCTGTATTATTTGTAAAGGGCTAACGCATGCTAGAAAAAGGCCTGGGGATAGATGGAGATGTCAAAGGGCGCTTGTGGAGGTGCATCTGTCTCCCGCATCTGGGTTCATATGTTAGGGGGTCGGAGGAGCTGTTTCCTTCCAGGGACCCCTCCATGTTGGCCTCGTGGAACCCCATTTCTGACAGGACCCTGTGTGGGATGAGGCTCTGCCTGGTTCTCAGGCTGCAGGAACCCCAGGCGAGAGGCTTCTTAGGGGCCTCGGGAACCGGCTGGACCTCCTTGCAGGCTTCCGGTTGCGGGTGAGCTCCCTGCAGGCTGTGGGTGTGCAGGGAGCGGGCTTGTTCCACGGTTCTCAGAGCTGTTGCCCTTGGACCTTCCTGGAGGTCAGGAGGGCAGCTTCCCAGGGGCTCTGGGGGCTCTGGGTCCTCAGACAGTGGCAGGGCACATTCCGGGGGCATTTTCTCTGCTGCAAAGATGTAGGGCAAGGGGCTGACTCCACATGACCTCCCCACATGTCAGCTGGGCATCCCAGGCACCGGCAGCCTCTGGCATGGTCCTGCACTGGGTCCCAGGCAGAGGTGGTGGCTGAGCTGGGGTGGCCAGGAGTGGCCAGGGGTGGCGCGGGTGTCCTATCCCATGGGCAGCCTCTCTTCCTCCTGCGCCCTGCAGCGAGGAGGCTGGTCATTGTCATTGTGATCGTGTGTCTGCCCAGTGAAAAATCACACTGTGCTCGCTACCACTCTCCCTCTAATGCAGTCTGTGTCAGGCATGGGATTCACTGAGTGAAATTTCATCAGTGGATCCTGTGGATGGGCAGGAGTGTGCGCCGAGGCCCAGGGGAGAGGCTCTGATCTCGGGCATCTCTGAGGGCCAGACATCCTGCTGTGTCCTGGGTGGCTGCTCCTGTCCCTTCTGCGTGGGGCTGCATGACCTGAGACTCACCCTGCCTGGGAAGGGACCTTGCCTGGGCTGGGGAAGGACAAGGAGGTGGGCAGTGGGCTTGTGCTTTGCTCTCAGCTGCCTACTTTATAAGGTCAACCCCGAGGGGACAGCGGCCACCACCCCTGACCACACGGCACTGCTCCCAGCTGTCTTACCGGGGAGGGGGCCCTGCAGGGGCGGATGGCGCTGAGCGAACTCCCACCCCATCAGCAGCGATTCGCCACGCCCTGTAAAGCCCCCGGGGCCGTTACGTTTCCCAGATTGTTTTACAGCAAAACTCGGTGTCAATGTTATGCTTTGAAACACTTAAGAAACAACAGTTTATAGTCTCAGATCTTTACGGTTTGCAAGATGAATACGCGGCTCGCCGTGTGGGCCAAGTCGGTGTTTCAGATTCTAGTAAACCCCCTCGTTGTTACAACTGCAGAGACACCCAGGGAGGAGGTGCCCAAATCACTCCAAGATGTCCCGGCTCTGGGCGCCCGCTCCGTGTGGAAACATGTTCGTGTTCTCAGGCGCAGAGTCAAAACACACAGAAAGGGGATATTTTTAGATGCGTGCATTTGGAGTAAAACCTCCCGCTCCCACTCACAGAAGGCACCAGGGGTGAGCTGGTCCCGCTCTGTCCTCTAAGTGTGGGTGGAGAGCTGGAGGACTGGCTGGCCCCTCAATGACCAGAACTGGCCTCCCTGGCCAAGGATGATGGGGCTTTGCTGGATGCGGCCGCCCAAAGCCTGGGGCTGGGGTTCTGCTCTCTGAGGGCTGTGTGGGCAGCGCTCCGGCCTGGGAAGAGGAAGCAGGGTTCCTGACTAGTTTGTGCCATCCCGGGGGGGGGGGGCATGCACACCCATCCAAGAGTGAGCCCCCCGGTTCAGGGCTTCCAGTTGGGCTGGGACGGGCTGGGGAGTATGGGGGACCCAGCGGGGCAGTCCCTAGAATGCACACACTCCGCAGCGCTGCTGTGAGAGCCGCTGCACTGTGACACGAACCCCGCGTGAAGCCTGGGGGCCGATGTCCAGCCTCTGCTTGCTGGCTCTGGGCCAGCACCAGCATTGGCTGGGGATGTGGGGAGCACAGGGGTGGGAGCCAGGCCCACCCTGCCACTCCCCGCTCACTGGCTGTGCCAGGAAGGACTCCGGAAGATGACACTGTGGGCTGCCCCGGGGCTCAGAGCAGGTGTCTGTCCTCCACACTCACAGTCTGTGTCCTTCCTCCCTAGGACGCCTGCCCTGAGCCTCAGGAAAGCCTAGTGTTTCATTGAGGAGCCCGAGACTCTGCCCTCCGCAAGCTGGTGGGCTCCACGGTGCACCCCGACATGGCGGTATGGGGCCCTGCGTCTGGCCTGAGCGGACCTGTGGGGGGAGTGGGTGCCTCTGCTTGTGTTTTCACATGGCTGTCGCTGTGGAAGCCACAGCTGGGGCTCTGTGCAAAGCCACACCACTGTCAGCCAGGGAAGGGAAGGGCACGGCACCCAGAGCTTGCATGGGCCTCGGGGACGCTGCTGTTCAGTGCCTTGGGAGGCCTTCCTTCCCGGAGAGGAGAGCAGCGCAAGTGGTACCAGTTTCCTGGGAACCGGAGAGAGGTGAGTGGTGCTGCAGGGTAAGCATGGGCCCCCTTGCTGTGCACAAACTCGGCGCTGGCTCCTCCTGGGCTGAGCTTCTTGGCGCCAGGACACCGTCTCTGCCCTGTCCTCCCACGGGCACCCTCCCCACATCTATGTCCAGTGTCCCCCTCTTGTAGGGAGGCAGCCCTTCTGGATGAGGACCCGGGGACTTTGTTTCACCTGACGGGCTCTCCGGAGCCCCTTTCTCCGCACAGGGCTGCATCCGAGGCCCCCAGCAGGAGTTCTCCTGGGGACAGGAGGTCCCTGCACCATGTGGACCCCACTCACAGGATGACGTGGATTGCTGCTTGTCTGAGGTATGGATGTAACTGGGCACCCCCACCGCAGAGACCCCCCATCCCAGCCTGCGGTGCAGACAAAGCCCCAGGGGATTGAGGCTGGGGCCCCATGGCCCCAGTACGCACAGGGCAGCCTCAGCCTCACTCAGGGGGTCCGAAGCCCTCCCTGACCAGCTGTGATCAAGGGCAGAGCCCTGGTGTCCCCGCATGCCCGATTCCCACACACACTTGGGTCCAGCACACAGCCTTCTCCGGGCTCGCTCAGGGCTGGCATCTGCCCAGAGGTTCTCTGCGGTGCCAGGAAGCCTGGGTCTGGGAGATGCAGCCCCCGCAGGCTGGGGTTCAGTGGTGGGGACCAGTGTCCCATCAGCCTCTGCTCACAGCTCAGGAGAAACTCAGGGAGTCTGGGAGGTAAAGGTCAAAGAGGCTTCACCTCCAGATGTCCCTCCTGGAAGCTCTGACTGTCACAGGGGTGGGGTGGAAATTAAGAGACAGGACCCGGGGTGCAGTTCAGTGTTGGGTGGGGGTGGGGTGGGCGGCACAGCGCCTGCTGTCAGGGGCCCTGGTGATGGCCCGTGAGGGGCTCCCTGGGGACTGTCACCCCACCCGCCCCAGGCAGCAGGTCGGGAGTCATCAGCATCAGGAGCCGTTTTCAGTTGAAAACCTCGGATTTATTAACTTTTCTCCAGAAGCCAGCACGTCTGTTATTTATGCTACTTTGATCTAAAGAGCTGTTTGTTTACATTTTATTGCATTATAAATCCCTGGTAAGCAGGCGTGATATTTTTATGATGCCCAATAAGGACCCTCTTGCGAGAGTGCAGAGGGAACTGGGGCTTGGCTGCCTGCCACCGGCGTCTTTCCCGCCAGCTCCCCAAGTCCTCTGCGCATGCGGCCCGCAGATGTGTCCCCAGGAGCACCTGGGGCTGTGCGCCCGAAATCGGGAGCCTGAGGCTCCAGGCAGCTGTGCTGCTGGCCGGGGACACCATGACTCGCTGAGCTCAGGGTGTCTTCCCGGCCCCAACAGGACACAGCCAGGAGCAGAGGCCACTGAACAGATGCCCAGGGTGCTGAGCATGGCTGCTGCCCAGGGACAGGGACAGGGACAGGGACAGGGAGGGGGGACAGGGACCCAGCCACAGGACAGGGACATGGGATGACACAGGGACATGGGACAGGGTGACAGAGTTAACCAGCAGCTCCTGGGGGTCTGTTGTGTGACTGATCTCCAGTGCTGACAGGAAACATGCTGTCATGGTCCCCTTTACATCCAGGGAAACCGAGGTGCAGATCCGACATCCGCTCTGCCTTCTGTGAGTGGAGGGAGGTGGCCTCCCTGCCGGGCTCACCCGGCTCCAGAACCTTTCTTTGGGTCACCACGTGCAGCACCAGGGCCGAGGACCGGGCGAGCGGAGGAGCGCACAGATCTGAAGGCCCCTGGCTCTGGGCTGAGCCTGCAGCCGGTGGGGCCCAGCCGTGAGCAGGCGAGGTGCAGGTGCGCACAGACCTCTGTGTGGGGCCGAGCCGCGAGTGTGTGTGTGAGTAGGGGTGTGGGGGTGCAGGGGGTGCTTGTGCATACACTGGCTGAGCATCAAGGGTGTGGCCCACAGCACGTGAGCCTGGGCCCAGCCTTGGGTGGGATCCAGCGGGAGCCCCGGGGTTCCAGCAGGAGAACTCTGGGCAGGTGGGGAAGGACAAATTCAGGAAACAGAAGAGGACAGAAGTGTTCTGTTTCAGTGGGCGCCGAGCACAGAGGAGGTGGACGGTGTCCTTGAAAGATGACCGTGACCTTGGCGGGACACCCAGCAGGTAAGGGTGGCACCCTCCCCCCCAGCACCTGGAGTGGATGTGCTGGGCATGGGCCAGTGGGGCCCGAGGTGGTTGCCTGTCCTGGGATCAGGGCTGCAGGGGTGGGAAAGTGCCAGGTGCAGGGCAGTGTGTGGGAGCCCCGCGAGGCCTGCTGGGCACCTGGGTGCCACCTCTCAGGACAGAGCAGGTGCAGGCCAGGCCAGGCTGGTCCCAAGGGGGTGAGAAGGAGGGGTGGCCAAGCCCAGCCAGGGTCCTGGCTGATCTGCTTCTGGAGGCGAGGGCCGCGCCTCTTCTCCCCACTGGACTGCACGCAGCTGGGCCCGAGCAAGGCACGCGCGGGTCTGGCGCACTCAGAAAGGTAGAGGAGAGTTTAATTGTGTTCCGCTTTTGATCTTCTGCGGGAGGTTAAGTGTGGTGAGCCTGGGAGGCGTGCTGTCTGCCCTTCCTGCTGGAAGATTTTCGGGTGGAGAGTGAGGATAACCCTAACCTGGGGTCGTGAAAGAAAATCATGGCGGGGGCCACACAGCTGCCCGGCATCTCCGCCAGAGCCCAGCGAGCGTACACTCTTGGGCCCCCAAGGTGTCGCTGGCTGTCAGGAAACTGGAACCAAGGAGTAAGTATCAGATGAGCTGCTAATGTTGGAAAAAGGGGAAAAACACGCTCGGGGTCTCTGTTTTATGGCTGCTCTTGAAGTCGGAATTTGCGATGGTAACCCAACGCCGCCACCCCGACACGCTCTCAGGATCTCGGGATAATTGAAAGTCCAGACTGGTGCGGCTGTTAGGGCCCTGAGCAGCTGTGTGCGTCTCTGGCCCCGGCAGGAGGAGCACCTGGGGCCCTGGCAGGTCCCGCGGCCACCGTGGTGCTTGGCCCGGCCTCCCCAGGTCCTTACTTCGCCTGCTCCTTGCTGGAGCCCCCGCTCTCCGGGTTGGGCAGAGGGGCCGTGTGGGGCAGTGCACTGGGCCCCTCTGGGTTTGCTGCCTGTGGGCCCACTCCACCTGCTGGGGATGGGTGCTCCATGCCTGAGGGGGCTCCCTCAGCTCCTGTGCCGGGCAGAACTGTGTCCCCGAATTCCTAAGCTGAAGTCCTGACCCCTGACATCCTGGAGCATGGCTGTATCAGGAAATAGGTCGGTGTAGACGGTCAAGGAAAGGCGAGGTTGTTGGTGGCCCTAAATCCCGTGGCCTGGTGTCCTCTGGCAGGGAGATGCGACAGTGAAGACAGCAGGAGAACAGCAAGGAGAGCCCCTCTCCCTCGGAGCGAGGATCCTGCCCACATCTCCGCCTTGGACTCCGGCCCCAGAACTGGGAGGAGATAAACATTCTTTGCTGAGGCCGCGCAGTCCGGGGTGCTTTGTTCCCGGGTCCCCCGGGCCCACACGGCGCCCACAGTGTAGGTGCCCTGCAGTGCTCACCACACGAGCTCTTCAGAGCTGCTGGACGAAGTCCAATGAGCCGCTCCAGCCTGGCCGACTTCAGGGCTGCGGTCGAGGCCCTGCCCTGGGGAAAGGTGGGTTCTGGCAGCGCCCCAAGGTCAGGTGCTGCCTCCCCGTGCCATCGATGGCAAGCCCTCCCCCTCATTCAGTGCCAGCTCCTCAGGATACACGGGGGCCGCAAGATGCACAGGTGGAGGGGGTATCCGTGCCCTCCCTCCTCCACACCCACGCCGAGCTCCTGCCTAGCCGGACCAGAGCCTGACCTCCACTGCCCTGCTGGTCCCCCAAGGGGAGGGGCTCTGTGAGGGAGGGAGAGGGAGCAGCGTCCGGTCCCTCTGCCCCTGCTGAGCTGGACGCTGTGGGCAAGGTGCATGAGGAGGGCATGGGAAGAAGATGGAGCAGCCGGGACCACTGGGTGGCCAGCGAGGCCGCCTTGGCCCAGGTGGGCACAGGAGGAGGCAGAACCGGCCTAGCGATCTTCTTGCTCTGCTCGGGGTCAGGGTGCCATTGGTCTGGGAGGGTCCCTGTGCCATTCTGACACAGAGACAAGGTCCTGAGGGAGCCCAGCACCCCAAGATTCTGGAGGCCTCCATGGCTTGGCAGCAGACTCAGGTGGAAGCACAGGGGGCAGCTGCCAGGGGAAGGAGCAGGCTCAGCAGGACGAGGTGGGCCTCAGCCCTGAGACTCAGCAGGAACCAAGGCCCCCGAGGCACAGCCTGGAGCCGGTGGTGGTGCCCAGGACCACCTGGGTGGTGCAGTCTCAGAGCTAAGATCCGCCAGCCGAGGGCTCACCCAGTCCTGACTGTCCTGCCCGTGACTGGTTCCTACCTGGGGCTGGCTGTCACCTTGGGGCACGGGAGGAGTGGGGAGGCCCTGAAAAAAGACTGAATAAACAGCACCGGTTACTGAAGGGAGGCAGAGGGACGGCACCGCCCCCTGCTGCTTCTGCCCTGTGCTGCCCGCTTTCTCGGCGGGGCGGGGACCGAAGGGCAGGCGACCAGGAGCCCAGAGCCCCAGAAAACCGCAGATCATAGCAGCACACAGAGCAGGATGTGGGTGGAGGGGAGCAAGTCTGGGCCTTGGGCTCTGTGCCTGCTCCTCCCTCGGGCCTGGACCCTTAACAAGAAGCATGCCTCGCGGGAGGGCCATGCCCGCCGCAGGTTACAGCTGGCCGCGTTCCCTGCCCCCAAGCGGGCGTCCCAGAGGGCAGGGGCCCCGAAGAGCAGCAGGTGGACACGCACCTCCCGCTCGGGCAGGACAGGGGAGGGGGAGCCAGGTGGAAACACAGGGCCAAGGCGACTCCTGCAGGACGAGGCCTGCGCAGCCCCCGGCCTCTGTGAGCTCATAGCCGCCCACCTCAGTGTCCTCCTCCGGGAATCGGACCTTCACACAAGGCAGCTCCTGCTGGGAGATTCAAGGCTGGAGCCCCCGGCTCTGGCTCAGAAACAGGGGCCCTTACCTGCGACCGCTCCTCCCATCCACCACGGGTACTGCCCCTCAGCACCAGGACAGAAGGGAGACCGGGGCCAGAGTGGCCTGAGGAGACGCACACAGGAAGGTGCTGCCCCAGGCCCACACGCAGGCCCCTCCGTGGGTGATGTCCGTGCTGCTCACACCCCCTGCGGCCACGCGAAGTCGCCGGCCCTGGGCCTTCACTCTTGAGCTCAGCTCTGGAGTCTGTGTTGGTGCTGGCTTTACAAAAATCACCCGGAAGGAAGGTAAAGAAGAGAAGCCCGAGTGAGGAGCAGAGCGCCCCCAGGAGGCCGCGTGCGGAGGGAACGAGTCGGGGCTCCAGGCGGCCACCACCGAGGGCCGCTCTGCGGCAGAGTCCCGCGGGAGGGGTTTGGTGGAGGTCACACGTGCAGAGAGCACAGCTTTAAAGGAAAACAGATGCCCTGGACTCCTCGTCAGCCTGCGACGCCTGCCCCAGACTGGCCACTTCCAGCTGTTTCAAAGTTTTACCTGTGCTTCTCTTGCCAAGCGTTTTAATTTTTGTCTGTATTTAAGGTGCACAGCAGGAGATCTGGGTTCCCTGGTCCAGGCACAGCCGTGTGACTGCTGCGGCCACCGCGGGGTCACTGTCCGAGACGCTGCCTGTGTTCCTCCTCGCCTGCTGCACCACGGTCCCTGGCCTTGGTAGGGCAGTAGCCCAGCACAACAATGACCCTGGGTTCTGCACAAAGCATGGCACAAACAAAACCTAAGAATAAAATCTCAAGCTTATACCTTGTGTAACATAGGTCACACTTCAACTCTGAGGACTTCACATGGACTTTTTTGTGGTTACAGCGTAAAGACTGAACCCCTCAACACACAGTCCAGCAATCACCACGTAGCTGTCCACTATGTCAGTTTTAGGGCTTCCTTCCTTCCTTCCTTCCTTCCTTCCTTCCTTCCTTCCTTCCTTCCTTCCTTCCCTCCTTCCTTCCTTCCTTCCTTCTTCCCTCCCTTCCTCCCTCCCTTCCTTCCTTCTTCCATCCTTTCTTTTTGTAGTACTGACTGATACTGGGGATCGAACCCAAGGACTTCATGGTAAGCTATATCTCAAGCCCTTTTTATTTTTTATTTTGAGACAGGGCCTCACTAAGTTGCTCCATTGCTCAGGCTGGGCTCAAACTTGCAATCCTCCTGCCTCAGCCTCCTGGAGTGCTGGGGTTACAGCTGTGCACCATGAGGACTTGCATTCTTATGGACACAAAGACAGTGTTCACAGGAAGAACTACGGTTTTATTTCTTCTCTTCAGGAACCTTCTCTTTGTGTACACTAACAATTGCCTTAAATTTTCCTTTGCATTTGTTTCTTGGAAGATGTCAATAACTGACCCTCAAGCAGTAAGATTTCTTCAAAAGTAGGCAAATGCTTCAGGTTTCTGCTGGCTTCACTCATCATGGAGCTGTCTCTGGGAGTGCTCTTCTCTCCTCTCTGCTGTTCTGGTGGCTCACCAGTTCTTATTGCACTGAGGATATCGGACAGACAGGTGCCACTAATAATTCTGCCGGGGAGCAGACGTGGGTCAGACTGTCACCTCCTCTCCAGGACTGGGTTATGCTTGTCTGGGACTTCCTTCATTTCACACTGCGAATTCCTCTGCCTGCCTTGGGGTTCTATTTCCTGGATCCAACACATCTCCTTTTTCATTGTTTTATGTCTTCAGTTTACTGGCGCACATCCTCTAGTAGCTTTCTGAGAAAGGGCTGATGAGGGTTCGAGGCTGGGACCCTCCTTTTGATCTTAGCGTGTGTTTGTCAGAGCACTGGATTCTAGGTTGGCGATTGCCTGCCTCAGAATTTCGACAGTTGCGCCAGCGTCTTCCACTTTCTCCCTGCTCCAAGGTCTAATGCCGTTTCTATTCCTGACCCTTTGCATATGATCTGTGTCCGACCCTCTCTGGAAGCTCCCAGGTGCACCCCTCTCCCCCGCCGGTCAGGACATGCCAGGGTGCTGTCTTGGTGCTGCTGAGTATCATACCTGATCCGAGTGCTCCTGGCCGCTTCTCTGTTTTCTTGTTCTCCCTTTCTGGTCAGCTACTGGACTCCTGAGCCCATCCAGTTTGCCCCACTTCCTTCTCTCCGAGAAGTCTGAGCCACGCGGTGTCTGGGGAGAGCGTGGGCTCCTGAGTTTACAGTTCCTTGCGCTCTCTGCACTTCCGTTTCTGACCTGGAATGTGGGTTTGTGGATGAGGCTTCCCTCAGAGAGAGCCTGGGGACCACGTGGAGCTAATTCACAGTGGTGAAGATGGCGTCAGTGGGTATCCTGTAAAGCAGCCCCCTCGGCAGAACCTGGACCACAAGACCCAGAAAGAGAGACACTCTGGGGGCCAGGTGGCTGCCCTTGTGTCCCCGGAGCAGCCAAGGCCAATGTGCGCAGCTTGGGGCTCCTGCTCCCCAGGGGCTCCCTCCTGCACCCGCCCCAAGGAGTCGCCACCCCCCGGCCTTGGCCAAAGGCCCACTTGCCCTCCTGCCCAGGCTCTCTGGGTGCCATACCCACATGTCACCGTGGCAGCAACCAGAATTTGGGCCAGGTTCTATGCAAGGGCTGCTGACTGACTTTGAGCAAATCACTTTCCTGCTGGCCTCAGTTTCCCTGTTCATAGGAGTGCAGGCATGGCCTGGCCGACCCCTGTGCCGTCTTGCCTCAGCCCCTCTGCGTTAGGTGGTGCTGGGTGCTGTTCCCAGCAGGGGAACCTTTGGGGTGCACACTCGCTCCTCTCACCACAGCACCTTCCTGCACCATAGACCTCCAGCCTGAGATGGCCACAAATCTCGCTGCAGGAGGAACGCATACACCACCTCCTTCCTGCGACCCAAGCCACCCTCAACCTGGCCTGCCCAGCTCCTGGGTTTCTGGGCCTCCCTCCTTGGCAGGGCTCCAGCGCCACCCCAGCCCCTGATTTATGGTCCTGGAAACACCGTGCAGATGTGGCCATGGCTACCGGCTGTAGCCAATTAATGGTGGAGGGCGCTGGCCTCCAGGCCAGACGGGCCGCTGGCCTGCTCAGAGCGACGAACAGGCCGGGAGGGCTGGGTTGGCCCTGGGGCGCCCCTCCCGGGGACGGGCCACCTCCAGGCACCATCAGGAGGCAACACCAGTCCTTAGAGGGAGCCCTGCTGCTGTAGCCTGGAATCCACCCCAGGGCCCCGTGGATGTTCAGCTCAGTGGCTCAATTCCAACCTGCAGAAAGAGCTGTGAGGGTGGGGTGGGGTGGGCGTGGTGCACATGTAGGTGTGCGCACACATGTGTGCACAAAGCCTATGAGAAACTCCAGGGAGGACCGAGCCACTGCTAGCAAGAGGCTCCCATCCCCAGCCCTGTACCCGGGTGGACAAAGGCCAGCGGCTGCACACACACTGACTGCCCACAGGGTCTTCAGTGTCGCAGCTTCCCCTGAAGACTAAGCACGACCCAGTAGTTGAGCCACAAACTCCCATTATTTGTTTATTAACAGCACCTATGTGTGTCAGGAAACCTGTATCTGGTTAGGCACTTGTGCCCTTTGGTGGACAGTTGTGCAGATAGATGACTGTGTGGCATCCCCTTGGATACACTCCAAGCTTGCTGTGCCCACCTGGAGCCTCTGTTCCTCCTTGCTGCTCACTGGGGTCCTGCTTGGGACTTGCTCCCCATAGGCAGGGTCCCCTCCTGCTCATCAGTGTTAGAGCACCGGGCAGGACATCCGCTCACGGCTGGGGGCCCCTGACAGTCCCCGAGGGCGCACCCAGACTGCCTGCCCCAACAGACCGCTTCCCTCTGTCCCTCCCCGGCTGGCCCTCCCCTGGTGGAACGCGGGGACCGGCGTCAGGCCACAGCACACGGACAGCCGGGGCAGCCCGGACTGCACCACCCAGAGCATCAGGATGCTAAGAGGGGTCAGAACGGCACCAGCTCCCATGGAAGACAGGACACACGGTCTCGACGACCAAGATGTGCCCTTCTAACAGGTGTGTGTGTATGTGCACACATGTGCATGCACATAGGTGTGGGCATCAGTTTTCAGTTTTTTGTTTATAAATGACAGGCTGAGGCTGGTGTGAGCTCAGGGAGCCGAGCAGCGCCCGGTGAGGGCCACCTCCTCACCGCGCCATGGTGTGGCAAGGGAGAGCAGTGTCAGTGCTTCGTGTGTGAGTGTGTGTTGGTGCACTCGGGCAGGTGTGGCTGCAGTGTGTGCATATGTTTGTGTGTGGTTAGCACGTGCACGTGTTCACGAGTGCCGCGAGCGTACCCACGTGTATTAGGGTGTGTGTGGGTGAGTGTGTGTGTTTTGTGTCTGTGTGTGTCGTGTGTTGGTGTGTGTTACTATGTGCACATGTCCATGTGCCTGTGTTGGTGTGGCCCATGCCCGTGTGCGTGTGTGCCCATGCATGTCTATGTATGGCGAGGGCCTTTCCCTGTGCAAAGCCTGCGTGCAGACGGGCCTGGGGCCTCCTGGGTGTGCTTTGCCAGGTCAGTGGAGCCGCAGCTTCTGCTGAGAGATTTGGGATAAGAGGCCTCGCCGGCAGATGCCCAAAACACGATAACCCGGCTGTGACAGAAACTTAATAGCCACACAAAAGGCTTTGTCATTTTCCTCCTACGACTGAGCAGGGGTTTTGTCCTGGGAACGTGACCATGCACTTCCATTACCGAGGACAGGACTTGGCCTTGTGGCCCAGCCTTCCACCCCGTGGACAGTGGGTGCAGGCAGGAGTCCTGGTCCCCCCACTTTGGGACCCCTCAGATGTCCCCCCGTGACAGGTGCTCTGTGCAGGGAGAGGGGCCAGCTCTGGGGTGGGCACCGGCCTGCCAGCCATCAAGGCTGTCCCTACCTGGCTGGCCAGGGACCGTGTCCGCCTGTCCACCACTGTGCAGCCCCGCCTCCTTCGGTGTCCAGCAGGAAGGGCTTCGGTCCCGCTCTCCCTGGGGGAGGCGCCTTGTCACACCAACATGCCTGCATGTTGCCCAGCTGAACTCCAGGCAGAGGAGCCTGGCTGTCCTCAGACATGTCCCCACATGTCACCATGGAGTAACACCCCTCCGCAGGGGTGGAAGTAGACAGAGAAGCAGAGACGCCCGGATGGCGTGCGGCCCGGGCTCGGCTCCATGGACAGAAGTGTCTTGCAGTGAGGGGTGGATGAGAGCTAAGTGGTCACTGTGTCATGAGGGGCAGGTGGGGAGCAGCGCCCCTGCTCTCGCCTGGATGCCCTCCCTGGTCCTGGTCACCCTCGGCCACTCTGCTCCTCCTCCGGGGCCGGCGCGGGAACCGGCGCGGGCACAGGGAGTGAAGACCTCATCACCACCAAGCAGCTCACCCAGCCACTCGAATTTTTCCCACCACAAACCCATCTCAGCCCACAAGCAGGGGCCCCGGGTGGCCATGGCGGGGTCTGGTGAAGGGGAAGCCACATTGGCCGCCCTGTTGGCCTTGGGGAGTTGGCCCCGTATCTGACACCCAGGGTCGAAGGGTTCTGTCACATTTTTGAAGCTCAGCTGTTTTCTGCACCTGCTCTTGCACCCTGAAGGCTGGCCACAAAATTGGGGTGCGCTGTGTAGGGCTGTCCCCTGGCCCAGCGGGATTCCTGACGATCCACAGCCAGCGTGGGAGAAACTCCTGGAATGGAAAGGGTCGTTCCAGTCAGGCTGCAGCTTGGCCCTGGGGCTCCCCTGGGTGCTGGCTCCCCAGGCCTGGGGACAAATGGGACATTGCTGGTGTGGCCCGGTGCTGCCTGCCACCCTCGG